AGTGATCGATTGAGTCTTGTCTCAAATCTTTTGGTGGTACCACAACCCTGGGACATTTTTTCCTTATTGTTTCCAGTTGCCCCTGTATTTCATTGCTTGGTCTTCCTCTCTTTAGTGCCCTGATTTTTTCCCTTTTGCATAAAATCTCTGCAACTTCAATTCTGAAACACTTTTGATTCAAAACTTGAGCTCTGGGATCTTTTTTTAACGATACCTCTTTATATAAGATCCAGGCATTTATTACTGCTAGATCAATCAGATGGTAAAAAAGCCTGAAATACCACCTTTTAGCTTTTAGTGTTACCCTGTGGCGATCTAAATGACTGTCCAACAAGTCTACTCCACTCATATGCTTATTATAATAGATTGTGACAACTTCTGGGCAGTCAACTTTGTTATGAGTTTTTGTAGATTGCTCGAAATGCTTTACTTTCTTTTCTGGCTATTTGCCTCTGAATCTCGAAAGAAGTACTACATATCGATTGTCTTTTTATATTACAGATGATACATCAACACCATCCACATTTGCTACAAATTCATCAGATGAACCTCGTGGAAACTTCTCTGTAGGAAGTTTGCATTTAGAAATTCTGTTTCTGCGTGCTAATGAGAAGCAATGTCTTGAGGCTTTATTTAGGCTAGATAGAAAAATGCTACCCCCAACCACCTGAAGGGCCAAAAGTATGGTTGTTAATCAGTGCATTGTGATTAGCTAGGTATGATTCCCTATACAAAGGTAGGTGTGTTTGAAAGTGACACAGAGGAAATGATTCCCCCCCCCCACTTAGCAACAAACTCAATGTGCAAGCTAAAATATCAGCATGGTCCATGATGGACATCTTTAAGATTTTCTTATGCAGGAAGAGAGATCTTGCAAGGCTAGAGGTTATTTAACACAAGGCTGTTTTCATGCAGTCAATAAAACTATGCTTACTGAAATTGTATTTTTGAATGAAGTATGAGGAACTAGAAAGGCAAGCAGTTTAAGCCAAAAGAAGTATTTATAAAATTTTATAACAAAAACTGTGCCACTTCCACTTTTGAAAATAGAGGATTTTAAAGGATCATTCAGTTTAAGAGAAAAAAAAAAAAAAAAAAGCAATAAAACTTTACATTAATGTCATACACAATTACAGATTTCTCTAAAGGGCTGGGTACAGATGTTATTAGTTAGAAGGAAGGATCTTCTTTCAATAAATTAAATTTGCTTCCATAATTTTTCAGATAGTTACCATTACTCTTTTTTCACAGATAGGGAAATTTTGGAGTAGATTTCCCCAGAGATTCTTAACATTGCAGAAGATCTAGTATCTAAAAAAAGTTTTGAGAATCGACAATTTACATCATACTTAACTTATATTGCAGGTAAATCATCACACTGGAAATATTTTTGCACGGGGGGGGGGAGATGTTTAGTTTTCCACAAGCTTCTCTTCTTTCATAGTCATTTCATATTGAGACTAGTTTTATGACAACCTATAAAAGCTTCAAAATGCCTAGATTCTAGTCAAATCTGTACTCTTTACTAAATAATTTCTCAAATATATTTATGAAATTTTTAAAAATAAACAGTAGTTTATGCTACTAAAATCTATAGTACATCATTGCTACAATACCGTAATCATACTGCAAATTTTACTCTTAGCTGACTGTATGCTGCAATATGAAATATCCCTTAATGTCTTGAAGTAATGAAATAAAAAGAAAATGATGTGCAAGTTCTATTATAGTCCCATCCACATACTGGCACAATTAGGAAAAATAAATGCAAATACGCACGAACATGCGAATGGCCAATATGGTGAGCCACTGAAGCGACGAATCCAACGATATGCTCCACTAAGCTCTACACCCGGCCGTTCCAGAGAAGATGATGTTACAAACATACAGACGTGCACAGAGCGTTAGTAATTTTAAAGATATTTTTGGCTTGTTTATGAAATCAAGATGATGAATAACAAACACTAAGTGTTCTCATAGCTTTATCTTGACAGACCTTTCCGTAGCGACATGGCCTTTCACTCACTTAAAAAAAAAAAAAAAAAAAAAAAAAAGAGGGCGCAGTTTCTTCATTTTCATTAAATTTGTATCCGAGGTTCGAATCCCGCGAACGGGCTGGCTGCATGGGTGTTTTCGTGGTTTCCCCCATGTGTAACGTGTATACGAGCCAGTTTCTCTTAGGAAGTCCTCCATGAAAGCATTCCTCCCATTAGGCAGATAGCCCTTGAGGCTTTGCCATAATCACACACACATTCAGTTAGTAAGATTTTTTTTTATTATTTTCAATTACCAAAAATTCTGATTTTTGAGTATCTTGTAACACAATGGGCATCAGGAGAAATTTTGTCAAAAACCCACTTAATCTTTCAGGCTCTGATTCTAAGCCATTGCTTAAATTATTTAAAACAAGAAAATACTGATAACCAGTAGCAAATCTTTCCTAAGAAATGCACAAGCGAGTCAAGATACAACAAAGCTAGCTCACCAGAATGAGAAAAGGCAAAGATATGTTTTTTATATGAATGTGTACTGGCATCTAGTTTGCCAGACCTTACACCATCACATTTCTGCAAATAGCTGAAATTATTATGATTTCAGAAAAATCTGCGATGTAAACAGACAGCTACACTAAAGTTCAATGGCCTGGATTTATTTGTTTTTAAAATATTAACATTTATGCCCATGATGTCTGAATAAAGTGCCAGACTGGAATGTTTAACCCTTCAATGCATGATTTTTTATATTTTTACCAAAAATTTTTTTCTTCAATGTCATAGCTTAAATAAATATGGAAAAATATTAAAAACATTATTTAAAATTTTTTATTGGTTATTTTTTGAATTTTTAGGTTTGATGCACATTAAATGTAAACCATGTGAACATTTATTTAAAATAATATATTTAATAAATATTGGCATACAATACTTAATTATTTATTTTTTTGAGGATATTGACTTTAATTAAAATTTTGTTAATACTTAATTCTAATTAATCATGTTCAGACCTTCATAATGCTACAGTGCATTTTTCACATCCAATAAATGTTTGTAATTTGCAGTTGGGCATTTTAACAACGAGTGCGAATTTCATTTTGTATGTTGTTGAATTTTGTTGAATATGTGGAACATGTTGCTGTGTGATGCAGGAACTCTCTCTCTTTTCTCAATGTAATCAATTTTTAAAAGACCGCTCCATCTTCCACGCATAAGAACTGAACTTTCACCCATTTTACATAATCCAACTACTGTACAGGCCATGCAAATCCGAAAGGCAGCCAGGTTTAGAAAATCCTTAGGTTTGCTACCATTCTTTAGAGACACTCTTTTGTACAGCAAAAACGCATTAATGACCGCAAGGTCTTAGAAATGATAAAAAATCTGATATACCACTTTCTTGATTTCAGAGATATTTTATATCTTCCTATGTGGCTATCTAGCAAATCCATGCCCCCCAATATGTTTGTTGCATCATTTCACAACATTTTGGGCAGTCCACAGGAACTGTCTCTTTTTTCTTCTTATTTAATCTAGATATCTATTCAATGGGGTGTTTCCGAGCAAACGTATGCAATAGGAGCACATTCTTATTGTCTTTCCACACTAAATTCACGTATTTCAGTTCAACCGCAGTCTGTTCTCGACTCTTTTCAGTTGCTTTTCTGCAAGGAGTTTGCAACCTGGAATTCTGTTCCTATGTACAGTTCCCAAACAAAGAATGCTCTCATCAGCTAAATACTTCATCACATTAATTGAAGTATAAAAGTTGTCAAAATAAAATTTGAAATTTTGATTTTGAGGAATCTCCCTACAAAGTCTAATCACAACATTTATACTGGCTGCCAATTTTGCATCATTTGCTAAGAGGTTATGAAGTAGATTTTCTTGGCCTAAGTATACCTCAAACTTGTGAGCAAATCCATCGAGACCACATAAAAAATAGTTTGAAAACAATTACTCAGTAAATGAACATAAATAAAAAAATTAAAGGAATTTTCAATACAAAAAACAATACACATACTACATAATTAGAGACATAAAATTAATATTTCATGACTAAATAAAAAATTTATGCAAATATCGAGTGGGTATTGCTGATATAAAAATAATTATGAAATATTATCCACATGATCCACACATCCAAATAATCATGGAATATTATTATTCATGTATTATGAAGTCTTATAATTAAAAATACACTCTAAATTTTAACCTGATTCATATATACATCCCATTTCACTCTAGAGTGAAGTCTAATCATAAATGCATAATGCATACGAATCAAACAGAAAAATTTAAATATTTTATTTTAAACCAATTCTGTAGTTAAATCTTAATACAGAATTGAAAAGTACATATCTTCAGCTATACAGAGTAAAATTTTTAAGTATCTAACATCGAATTTATGAATAACACAAGGTTAGCTTGACCACTAAAAAAACAGAAATGAATTCTGTGTTCTTGGCACTAATGAAATAAAGAGTACAGTTTTATGTTGCCATCTACTAAAAAAAAGAATAGTCAAATACTGATATGGATACAGTAAGATAAAAATCAGCCCAGTAAACCATCTGTTTTGTAATTTTTTTAATGCTAAATTCAGTAAAAATTGATATGATTCATATATGCATCACCATGCACTGAAGGGTTAAGTAAAATATATATTTAGAAATATAAAGTAAAATTAGATCGTTCCTCTTGCAGTGACATCTGATAAGAGTCAGACTTTAAAATACACAATTACAAATTATTTAAAATCTGCAATTTAAGAATGAAGTGCAGTTTGAGATTTTAAAGATAGGCTAAAGAACAGTGTAATACTTTTATAAAAATTACACTGTAAATCATATTTCGTTTCATTTCTGACTACTAAAAACTTACATGTATGTGCATAAGTTCTATATCAGAACAATATAAACAGCACTAAAAATTATCACTAAATTTAGTACACAGATACATACAAAATTCAAAACCTGAAACTTCAGATTATTAAACAATAATTACCTATCTAATCGTATTTCATCTGCTTCAATAATATCCTTCAGTAATGTAAGAGGATCTTCACCACCGGTGTATCCAGGTCCCCAGCGTAAAACTCGAGCAAGGTCATTTCCAGTTCCTAAAGGAACAATAGCACATGGTGGAGACTGACATTCTGAATCTTGTCCAACATTATCAAGACATTGAAGAACCCATCCCACAGTTCCATCGCCACCACAAACTAAAATTTTATAATCTTTCACGTGCCTAAACACATAAAGCCTGAAAAAAAAAAAAAAAAAAAAAAAAAAAGATCCACAAAATTAATAATGATAGTCTATGACACTAAATATCAATAATCCCATAAAAAATATTAACAAATTATATATGATACTGAACTATTTTCAATCCTGTGTATCTTTCTACACTGTAATTTGAACTCCAGCACTTCAAGGTTGTAATGATTTATTTAAAATCCTAATGTATCATCCCTGAAAGTATCGAGATTTCATCAAACTACAGGACTTGATAATACATGCAGTCAATACAATAGTTATGAGGTTTTTTTCCCACTTATATATTAAGTGGGAAAATGACCTTGAAGTGCCTACAGTAACAGACTGTAAAATGATAAATTTAAGGCTATACAGTTAACAGTATTCATATTTTTTTTAACAAAGAACTATCAGATTAACACAGTATGAAAAACAATGGATTTACATAATGTAAAACATAACATAATAAAATAATTCCAGCTTCTTACCCTGGAAGAGGCCCACCATTATCCAAATCATATACTTGATATGGGTTTAAAAGCTTCCGGAAAGAACATATGAGCTCCAAACCCTGACAACCTCCACTCTTCACATTCACAAATACTAAAAGAGGCTAAAAAAACAAGCAATAAATAATGGAAAAAATGCTATAATTAAACATGAATGAACAGTTTCAAGTTTCACACTTATATTTAATAATTAAATACATGCATTAAGTTGGCAGTTAACTAAGTACGCTAGAACTAGAAAAAATTCAACAACATTTTACACACATCTCTAAAATACGAAAATTAATAGGGCAATGCAAGCACTATTACTGCATTTCCATAATGAGTATACAAATTTTGCTATTGGAAAGTCATTGAAAAAGTATTTTGCAATTTTTAGTCCAGAGGGGCTTTGTCCCTGAAGGACTACTGCTTTCGTTTTGTGATTTTTCGTTGAATCACTATAAATGTCCATTTCACTTTTCAAACTGTTGCCACCAAATGTTAGAGTCCTGCATTATATTTGAAGAAATTAAATATGAAAAATCTGCATAAATGTATGTATATTTTGTCGCATTGTGATAAAACAATGGTACCTAGCGCCATCGAATTTTGAATGACATAATCCTTCTACGAATATAATATCGTGTATATTCAGGTCAAATCGATAATAAAACGAATTCCAAATGTGGAAAACCAAATTTGGAATTCGTTTTATTATAGATTTCATATTTTGTAAAACTTTAATGAATTTTTGATTACTAAATGCAAGGATTTCAAAGTGAGCAATGGCAACACTCTACCCCCCCGGTAAAGTGTCCTTTTATCTCCAACGTGCGGAAGAAATCCTTTTTATCTCCAGCGCGCGGAACTGTGTATCGGAAATTATAAAGATAGGCTCATTTTAAAATTATTTTGCGACATTGCTATTGAACTGAATTTTATGGTCTCAGTGCAAAGAACATGATAATTAATAAATAAAGGTAACACACAAAACGTTAAATAAACGCCCCTTTGGACGTAATTTAAAATCTGAAAACATTTCAGATTTCCCCCCCCCTCATATATATTTTTTTACCATTATATTTGAGGAAATCTTTCGATTGATCAATGCTTTGTTGGAAACAGGCGTTGTTTGAACAGCTCTCGAGTTTAACAATTTAAGAATTAAACAGTGAAAAGAAAAATGAGCTACGGAAAAATTTTCGTGATGTAAATCATCAGTAGAGTTTGCTGTCATGTATGTAGTGTTAATTTCAAACTGATATTCAAATAATTCCATAGAGAAAGCAGTTGATATTTTAATTACAATGAAAGAAATATTATAACTGTTAATCAAATAATTATTATAACCAGGTTAACAATTACCAGCGAATGATGCCCGGCCATTTAATGGTAGTAACAATAATAATTAATAAAAGATAAAAGAGAGAAGAAGAAAATATATTATAATAATGTACACATAATTTAATATTTTGTAACACTTCAATGAATTTTCGATTAACAAACTAAAGGATTTCAAAGCGAGCAATGGCAACACTATACAGAAAAAAAGCATTTTTATCCCCAGCACGCTAGACTCTGTATCGGAAATTCTAAAGATCATTAGCGACATTGCTATTGAGCTGAATTTTATGGTTTAAGTGCAAAGAACATAATATTTAATAAATAAAGGTGAAGCTATATGAATTTGGTGACAGATTTCAAAATTTTATCAAAAGATGACATTGCACTTGTCATAATTATGTTAATTAAAAGTGGTGACATGCACACCACATATTAGATTTAATAAAAACATGGAGTAATTCTGTGTCTGAGAAACTCCTCATGACTCTTAATGAAGGATCGGACTCTGATTGTGATTGATGCTTTCTTTTAGAAGAGCAGTACAAGAACTTTTAAACTGTACTTCAACTGTCCTGATGAAATTCTAGTCATTAGTGGGCATAAGATGAAGCTCTGGTCCAATGTCTGCAATGCTCTGAAATGTTTATTACTGACAGCACTTTGGAGATGGAAAATTCGTCTGTTCACAAAATGTTCCATAGCTATGCACTGTCCACCTCCATCCAAGCAAGAAATTGTACAGCAAAAGTTTGTCACACTGGCAAATCAGCAAGAAACAACTCCCGAAAATGTATAACTTTAAATGCATTTACAGAAACAGAATTAATTTTAAGTATAGTAATTATTCTGTAAAATATAACAATTATGCCGACAGGCATGTCTAAAGATTGTGTATTTTCTCTTGTATTGCATATTCCCACACCATTTCTCATCTCCGCTTGTAATGCTACAGCCAAACCTTTCACTCATGTCAATACAACTGCTTTCCTCCCTCTGCTAGATTTCATCAAATGAACCATCTGTTTGAATTTATAAATCCTCCTCCACAGATACCTGACACATATGGAATTAGAGTCGTGCCCCATATCCATTAATGTACTGAACTTCTTCACAGCAGCTGAAGCACAATTAAAAAAAAAAAAAAAAAAGCTTCACAATCAGAATCTGATGTTTCACTGACGGTCACAACAAGTTTCTCTGATGCAAAATCACAGGAATTGTATGTATTCCATGTTTTTATTAAGTCTGATATGTGGGTGTGTATGTCACATGTTTTAATTAGCATGACAACTACGGTGCCATCCTCTAATGCTAAAATTTTGAACTTTTTTTTTCTTTTGCCAGACAAATCACCATTGTTTCGTGTATATTCAGGTCAAATTTAAGGAAACTCTAACCAAAGATTCTTCCCCCCTCTTTTTTTACAGCCTTTTGAAAGTAGAAACATATCTACAATCAGCCTGTATGTGTCTATGACCAATGGCTATAAAAAATGAAGATCATGTAAAGACTTTGGCCATTTTTGTTTTTTGCATAAAACAAGGGTAGGATAAAATATTAAATTTAATTTGCAACAGCACCTTCAGCCTCCAATTTAATTTGATTATTTTGTGTATCTATCCTAAAAACAATAACCTATTTCTTATGCTTATAACAGATGAGTTGACAAAATGTGTGCGCGCGCGCGTGTGTGGGAATTATTAAAAATTTAAAAATCAAAATTTTAATTAACTAAACGGAATGAATTAAAACCATAACTATTATTTTTAACCTGTGAATTTTCTTCCTTGTTTCTTTGTTTTGCTATACAACTGAAGAAAATTTTCTTGCTTTCTTGAAACATGTTATTAAAATGTAAATATATTATTGATCGAGGATGGATGTGTAGATTGTGGCAGTTTAGCTATGTTTGGGGGCAAAGTTTTATTAAGAATAAGATCTTTGAAAAGCTATGACTGCATGTCTTTATGCACCAGTCATGCTCACTGTCAACTACGTCAATATTTTTATTACATTAATATACAGTATGTTCTGGAAAAGATTAGAACCATTTTAAAGGATTATAGAACATGGCACAAATGTAACAAACTTCGTTAGAAACTAATGGCCATATCGGACTTGGTAAAAGTCAGCTCAGCACTAGCTACCAGTGTGGATTGCTACCACCGTCAATTTTGGTACAGAAGTAAATTAATGGTAAAGGGCTGGTTTGTATCTACTGGCTCGTATACCTCAAACCCCGAATGCCGAAATCTATGAAGCAATAGTGGATAAATTATCTGTTTCCCACCACTCAGCAATAATTTGAACTGATTCTTTTCATTTTCTCTATGGCTATTCATCTGTTCACAATGCGAATGCCATAATACAGAGCTGTGAGATAATCTCAAATGGCAGGCCCACTGCTCTGATTTCAGTCCAATCAACCCTCTGTAGCATGAAGAACAAACAGATCATACCTGTGAGGTCATCCCATTCCAAAATTACTTGTTAAATTGAAAAAGAAATGGAAGAAAATACAAGCAGATATCTATCAAAGTTTATAGAAGAAAATACAAGCAGTATCTGTGGAAAGTTTGGCTTGAAGATTAAAGAAATGACAGCAACAAATGATGGATTTATTTCAAACTGACACCTTACAGGCACCAATTAAAGTACTTTCAAAATGGATACCCACTCATTTATAGCAACAGATATCTACAGATACACTGCTGGCCACCGTAAATGCAAAACCCTGAAGGAAGCATGCAAATAAGATAAAATTTACAACATGCATTAGTGGAGGTGAGATATGTAAATGATTAAAATTTCAGCCCAGACACACATCACGCGTGCCTGTGACACCACTTCAAAGTGCTATTTAAGGCTTGGAGTTTTCGAAGATTTCAAGTTCGGCATTTGTGTTTTTCTTGGGTTAAAATCAATTATGCCTCGTAGTAAACAGCGATCATTGTTTGATCAAGTATCTGAGTTCGACAGAGGAAGGATAGTGGCCTGCAGAGAGTGTGGATTATCTTTCAGGGAAATCGGTAGTCGTGTTGGACGAAACGAAACAACTGTAATGCGGATTTGTGACCGTTGGATGCAGGAGGGTACGACGGACATAACTTGTTCGATCGCATCCACCTCAGTGCACCATTTCACATGATGACAGAAACGTGCACATGGCAGTGATGGATCGCTCAGTCACACGACGAACCATAACACAGCACATTCAATCTGTAACGCATCATCCAGTGTCTGTGCGTACCATTCGACACCGTTTACAGCAAAGTGGTCTGTCCGCATGACGTCCATTGCTTCGTCTACCCTTGACGCAGAACCACAAACATCTCCGCCACCAATGGTGCGATGAAAGAAGGATGTGGATGGTAGAATGGAATGAAATTGTCTTACTGATGAGTCACGCTTCTGTCTGCAACACCACGATGGTCGGATTCGAGTCTGGAGACACCGTGGAGAGAGGATTCTGAATAGCTGCGTTATGCACTGCCACACTGGTCATGCACTGGGTATTATGATATGGGGCGGTATTGGATACCACTCTCCCAGTCCTCTAATACGCATTGCCGGTACTTCAAACAGAAAGCGCTACATCTCCGAGGTGTTGGAGCCAGTTGTCCTTCCTTACCTTCAGGGTTTGCCCACAGCCATGTTCTTTTATTCAAATTTGGTTTAGAGGTGGAAGGGCTAGGTTTTCCGAGTTCACAATATGATCTTTTCCTTACAATGTGTTCGTAGGTAATCCACTTTTCATCCCCAGTTATCATCCAGTTCA